AATGCAATAGAAATCACGACTTAGTGGGGAATGACACAATTCGGTGTAGACGTGGAGCGTGGAGTGGTGTCATACCTGAATGCAAAGGTGACACGGTTATTCATATCAACCATTACTCGCAAATTAGTGTAAATTTGCACATTACGGGTTTAAACTGCTTGATCTTCGGTCTGTTTGCAATCCGTTCACTGAGAACGAGACATTCTGCCTTTCTTTATATCTGATTTCACTCATCAAATCCTCTTTGTATCCCCTTTCGCCAAAGACAAATTTGTTAGCCGACAGTGTAAATACACTGAGTATAAAATGTAACGCTGTACGTGGTAAATAGTGTTAGTTGCAGTTTGTTAATGTTTAATTCAAAGCTTCTAAGCATTAATTTCTGCAATGCTGGATTTGTTTAGCGTTTTGCATTTCTCTCTGTGGTTGTTAACTTCGCCTCTTGAGAGTCCAAGCGTTATAAAGAACTAAAGTGGGTAATATGTTTGTATTTTCCAGCTCGATGTGCTTTCGATGATAACCTAGACAATGGTTACACGACAAACGGCATTTTTATAATAGGTGAACTCTTGCCACATGGCAGCCATTTAGAGTACGCTTGTGCTGTATCGTACACTTTAACTGGCTCCAACATTCGTAATTGTGACGATGGGTTTTGGGATAGAAAGCTTCCTTCTTGCAAGGGTAAGTTGGCTAAACTGGTTCAGATCTGTGGTATTGATTGTAATGTTGTGGACTCTGAATCTTCCACTCTTCTTTAAATTTGATACTGTGATCTCTCATGGACACGTGATCAATCAGGAAAACATTTGCTCGTTTGGCCATTTTGATTTGATAACGTCGCAGGGTTGGTCCAACTCGTGCCATTTTTTTCAAAAGATACAGTGAAAGATACAGTGAAAATAGTAAAGGCAGGTAAAAAGTGCTATAAAACGAGGACGAAAATATTTTCTAAGCAGCAAATGCATGCTACTTTGTTGTATACTCTTCGGTAAAAAGCCTTTTTAAAAACTCTATGACGTCACAGGGTTTGTAACATAAATATCTCGTACCCAGTTTTCCAAAAAGGTGTTACCTTAAGTAATGGCAAATTTGGGATGTTTGAGGCCCTAAGACCTTTTTTAAATTTGCTTGCGAATTTTACCGCCATTTTTTTTTTAAATTTCAACACTCAAATGTCTTTATTTCTGTTGGGAAATATTTTATTCCATAGGCACATTATATGATATTTTGTAATATTTTCCTATCATATGTTCCTCTGTTAGCATCTTGTGATGATCCTGGTCATTTAGCTCGAGGGAGAAGAAATGGCAACCACTTTTCGCATGGTCAGATGGTGACATATGAATGCACTACACAGGGCTACAGTTTGGTAGGGAAGCCAGAAATGACCTGTAACGATGGCAGCTGGGATTCAGGAAGGCCGGAATGTAAAGGTAGATAGCACATAACATTAAATCACCACCTAAAATACCAAGCAATCAATGAATTTAAGTTTTCTCCTGTTTTCTCCCCTTTCACAGCGACTTGTGATCCACTGCCAGCGCTCTCTAATGGCAAAGTAAATAGCCACAATACAGACCACGGAGCAGTAGTCTCGTACTCATGCAACGAAGGATTTCAACTGCAAGGCTCCCAGCAGATTATGTGCATCGATGGCGAATGGAATGCAAATTCTCCAACTTGCAAAGGTTTGAGAAATTCACTTATGTATATTTTGTTTAGAGCGCCTCCTTTTATAACAAAAACACCCTAAAATGTCAAATTGTTAGATGAAATACTTTTCTTTTACACTTTTATTCAAAAGCGATCGGTTTTACTGGCAGGCAGGCAAGCAGGTAGGTAGGTAGGTAGGTAGGTAGGTAGGTAGCTCAGTAGTTCGGCAGCTTGGTAGCTCGGTAGCTTGGTAGCTCGGGAACTCAGTAACTTGGTAGCTCGGTGGACAATCGATCGACAGATCGATTATCACAGAGCGGTAAGAGTTTCGGACACACTGCTTATCTGTTTCTTGTCAATATTTTCATGCAGGACTTTGTAGAGATCCGGGACCACTCGAGAACGGACGCGTCATCGGGGACGACTTCAGTTATGGCTCCTCAGTTGAATTTTGGTGTAATTTTGCCTACGATTTAGTAGGCCCAGCCTCTTCAACTTGCAGGAAAGGAATATGGAACGGTAGATTCCCAGCATGTAAAAGTAAGTGATGATGCAAATAGAAAAAGTAGTTCCAGCTACATATTTCTACCCTATTGAGATGCAAGATCATATCTCATAACTTATTCAAGTAAAGCGTTTTGAGGAGTCAACTGCGCGAGAGAATAGTTAAGCGATTTTCTCCGTTTCAAACGTAAGCCTGCCGGGCCCGGCGTAATAATACAAAATGCAAGTAACCAACATGTTCACGGAATCTTTGAAACTTTGTCCCTCCAGATTTAATATTTAGAGAGCTTAAAACATATCTTGCAATATAAATAAGACGAAAAAACTAGTACGCGGCAAAAAAACAGAGGTGTCAATCTACAAATTACACGCGGAAAACTGTGGAAATCACACAGACCTATGGACTCCAGCGGCTCTACACTGGTGAAATGTCCTCCTAAGAACAAAGTATTAAGTGCTCTTCAGAAACAAGTGTGGAGCAAAAAAGATCGCGAGAGCGAGATTAAGAAAAATGTATATATTAATGTCAAGAAGCGTAGGAGTCCGGCCATGTACGGCCTGTCACCCTCGTTTAACACTGGCATTCAATCCAAAATCAACCACTGCTTCGCGAAATATTCAAAGATCCCCTATCGTACCATACAAAAGGTAGACTACGAGTAGTCCCTCTTTCGCTTTGTTCGTGCGTCACGCGAAAGATAACCGCGAGAAAAATATGGCCGCGCGAAATCCTGGGGGCGAGGAGCGCGCGAAAGGAGCTCCTCGCCCCCAGGATTTTNTACTAATGTCAAGAAGCGTAGGAGTCCGGCCATGTACGGCCTGTCACCCTCGTTTAACACTGGCATTTAATCCAAAATCAACCACTGCTTCGCGAAATATTCAAAGATCCCCTATCGTACCATACAAAAGGTAGACTACGAGTAGTCCCTCTTTCGCTTTGTTCGTGCGTCACGCGAAAGATAACCGCGAGAAAAATATGGCCGCGCGAAATCCTGGGGGCGAGGAGCGCGCGAAAGGAGCTCCTCGCCCCCAGGATTTTGGACTAAGCAAAAGAGGGACTACTCGTAGTCTATACAAAAGGGGCAGATCCTTACAGATAAACCAGTTCGAGCAAAACTTTCAAAGCGGCTATTTCACGTGGATAGGAGTTGTGTAGGCCAGTAACCCCAATGTTTCCACAGACAATCTCAAATATTTTATTTTGCCAGTATGTTACTACACCATATGGATCTGTTAAACAACATCGTCTTCGTTAAGATTTTACACTAAATATTTGAATTGTCACGTGCCAGAGCAACATGACGGACGTACGATAATCATTATTCCTTGCTTTTGTTTCACTGTCGACTACATTTGTCGGCTAGCAGCGGCAGAACGTTAAGTGAAAAAATAAATAAATAAATAAGTTACAACACTGAGTACTACCTTTCCCAGCGTTTTCTTAAGGTACCCACTAAAATTTCGTTATAATTTGCATAAACATTCTTAATTATTCATTCTTCATAAGAACGTTGTCAGGATCCAGGAAA